GCTTCTGATCAGTTATCTTTTTTTAACCCTTCTCCTCATCCAATAAGTTGGCAAAGAAATTTCTCAAACCCCAATTCTTCCCACTTAAGTAAATTATACTGCAAATTTTTTTTTAAAGTGCACAGCCGGGCGGGGGGCGGGGGTTGGTTAAGGCCTGTAATCCCAGCACTTTGGGAGGCCGAGGCGGGTGGATCACGAGGTCAAGAGATCGAGACCATCCTGGTCAACATGGTGAAACCCCGTCTCTACTAAAAATACAAAAAATTAGCTGGGTATAGTGGCGCGTGCCTGTAATCCCAGTTACTCAGGAGGCTGAGGCAGGAGAATTCCCTGAACCCAGGAGGCGGAGGTTGCGGTCAGCCGAGATCGCGCCATTGCACTCCAGCATGGATAACAAGAGCGGAACTCTGTCTCAAAAAAAAAAAAAAAAAAATAAGGGCACAGCCAAAATGTCGTTTGCATTTAAGCTTCGGACTGTGTTCTAAAACTGCCTCTTTGACATCTCAGTCCAGATGTTCCACACACAGTTACCTCAAATATGAATGAGAAAACTGCAATTATTTTAGTGTCTGTATTCATGATCTCATATAATCATCCCTGTCACCCTATAAAGTTACCACTGTTGCCCCATTTTACTGAAGAGAAAGTGGAGAGGACACTACTACGTGCCTTGTCCAAGAAACACAAATGGTAAGTATCAGAACCAGGATCTAAACCAGGTCTATGTTCAAAACCCATAGTTTTAAACACTTACCTGTATTTTCCTAAAATTCAAGATGTCTAAAATTGAACTTAACATCTGTTCTTCCCACACCTCCCTGTATCCTATGTTTCCTATCCTGATGAAGGGTACAACTATCCATCCAATGAGTTAAGTAAACCTGGGAGTCTGCCTAGAGAATTTCCTCCTTTGCTGTCATCTCCCCTTATATTAGCTATAGGTCCTGCCTGTCCTCATTTTACAAATGAGGAAAGTAGACTTAACATGATATAACAGCCCCTTAATTGTTTCATTCACTACTAGCCTCATTCCTTGTAATGCATCCTTAATACTGCTTCTAGAGGAATCTTCCTAAAATACACCTTAGATGTCACTTTCTTGCTCAAACCTTTAAATGTTTTTCTTGGCACCTTAAAGGTGAAGCTTATGCTCTTTCAGTGTGGCCTGCAGTGTCCTTCATGCTTGGCCTCTATCTTTCTCTCAAGCTTATTTCTTGCTGGCTCTCCACACCGTTGTTCTTGCTTTGGGACTACTAAAGGAGATGTATCCTAGATGCACTGCACTGTCGCATGCCTCAGTGCTTTTTGTATGCTACCTCCTCTACCTGAAGCACCTTAATCTGGTTGGCTAGTTCCTAGACATCTCTTAAGATTCACCTCAAGCACTGCATTCTGCAAGGAAACTTCCGTGATTACTGAGGCTGGTTAGGTTATCTTTTCTTTATACCCTTCTTCTGTATTTCCGTAAGGGCTATTCCTAACTTATCTTCTTCCTTCCTATCAAACAGACTTCTCTGAATGACTTGAGTCTCTTCTGTATGCCCACTACACATTTTATTCAACTTGTTTCCACCGACAGAAATGTCCTATCCTCGTACCTTCCATGTCAGCATATTTAAATCCTATGCATATGTAAAGACCGAAGTCCAGAGTTTTTAAGTCTTACATAATTTCCCAGCTTGAATATGTTTTCCTTTCAAATTCTGTTACAATTTCTCTAACCATTCCATGACATTTAACATTTTTTAGGCCGGGCGCGGTGGCTCAAGCCTGTAATCCCAGCACTGTGGGAGGCCGAGGCGGGTGGATCACGAGGTCAAGAGATCGAGACCATCCTGGTCAACATGGTGAAACCCCGTCTCTACTAAAAATACAAAAAATTAGCTGGGCATGGTGGCACGTGCCTGTAATCCCAGCGACTCAGGAGGCTGGGTCAGGAGAATTGCCTGAACCTAGGAGGCGGAGGTTGTGGTGAGCCGAGATCGCGCCATTGCACTCCAGCCTGGGTAACGAGCGAAACTTCGTCTCAAAAAAAAAAAAAAAAAAAAACAAAAAACATTTTTTACACAATTTGATTTCTAATATGTATATATACTATCTTTTTCACTTGCTATGAATACTGGTTGTTGGGATACAGAATATGCCAAGGCCTTCGTGCCTATGAATTTAATTTAGTGGTGGTCTCATTATCAGCTTTTTTAGGGCTATCGTTCTTAGTTGAAGTTGTTCTCCCATAATGGATAAAGAGCTATCAACGTTCCTGACTCTTTTGTATCTTGAAGGAATGACTTCTAGTGTGTTTGTTCATACTTGGTTGTTGGGCAATTATTGGAGAGATTTAGACTAGCAGCCCAGATAAGAGAATCTCCTTCCATTTATTTAATCACTTCACAGTCCTGGGATAGCTGGACTTTGAGTCATTGCTGAGACTATATTGTCACTTTAGAGTTGAAGCAACAAACCAAGAAACTTATCTCTGAGGTCACCTGTTCCTCTTCACCTCAGCTTTCATGAGAGGCTTGTCTTAAAACTGAAATATATATATATTCTTTAAAAAAGGCATGGTGAACATAGGGAAATTTAAACCTCAGGGTAACAGTTTTCCTTGTACAGTAATAAAGATGTATGTGGAGTCAGTGGCCACAAGATCAAAAATAGATCACAGTAATCGGACCAAACCTGAGAAATGGCTTGTTGCTGTGTTTTAAAAAATGACATGGGTAAGGCAGTCTGTTTTGTGGCGATGCTTCCACTATTTGTGTGACTATACAGTCAGTTTGAAATAGGACTGGCAAAGTTAAGCTTATAAAGTTAATTGCCTACAACTGATCTAGTTTTAAACAGAAAGTAGGTTTCCTTTTGGTCTTGTGTAGAAGAGGGGAGAGATTTCATGTGTAGGCAGAGAGACAGAGAATATGTGTTTCCTAACATTACCTTTTAATTTAGGAGAAGTTTGGAGTTTGTTCTTTCCTGTGAATATAGAGGTGGAACCACTCTAACCAGAGTTTATTGCTGTAATATTTTTAAAATGCATTTGTAACACTGATGTATCTGTGACCTTGTGAAGGAGCTTTTGAGAAGTGGGGGTGGCAGGCCCTTTTTCTCACTGTCATAAGTGATGCCTACTCAATAACTCTAACTTCCTGACAGTATTGGGAGGGGGATGAGGGCCTCTCATAACTTTGTTTTTGTATGGCGTAGTTCTAACGTGTTTCCTTCATAGTCACATCCATCCATTTAGAGTTTCTTTTTCCCTGCCTAAGGCTTGCATCCAGCCTAGTCTGTGTTTGGGACTTTAAATGCTTTGAATTATGGAGAATTGTAGTATTTTATCGATGCTTCCCTTGTAGTTTATAGCTCTATATTGTCTTAGGTTACACAGCTTGCATTTCTTAGGCATTGTAAGTGGATTATTGCAATTAGTTGAAGTTTTGAGTGGAATGCTCTGTTTTCCTTGATTTCTACCAAGTGCGGTATTCTCTTTCTTGGTAGTTTTTGATTTTTTTCTTTCAGGGATTGCCTTTTAAAAGACCTTTTAAGTTAGAGGCATTAACCTTTCTTTCCACCATAATTCTCAGCAGATAGATCTTTTTCAGCATGACCTACTATCAAGTAAATAATGATTTGATGGCAATATTCAAGAAAAATTATACCTTTGAAATACAAATTTTTGTCAGCTTCTTAATGTACAGTATATGACTGGTGTTATCCAAGAAGAAAAGATTAGTTAATCAATCTCTTCTAGAATTAGATGGCTAATGCTTCAAGCATCCAATTTAAAAACGATTACACATAGGTCCTGTTGGCAGAATTGCCTATGTCATTATTCTGGTCATTTGTACAAAAACAAGTTGATGATTCTTTAAATAACCACTGTTCAGTTTTCTTTTCCTTTTGAATTATTATTCCTCAAGTATTATATTCCATTCATGAAACAGCATGAATCAGATCTAGAAAGTTAGAATTTCAGTATAGAAATTCAGTAGCAGAACTTTTCTTCACCTTTTTTAACCAAAAATGTTCTCCCGTTTTCATATTAATTTACCTGTGATTACATCTCTTTATTCTTGTTTCATAAGGGGAGTGCATAGAGTTATATTTTAATAGAATATGTTTCAAGGTTTTAGGATTTTTTAAAACGAGGTCATCACCTTCAAGATTTTGACCTGAACTTTTCATGAACTAAAGGAGCAAGAAAAGAATAATTTTTTTAAAAGATGAATATATAATGTACTTATAATGGAATAACTGATCGAAGTTAAATTCATTTGTTAACATTTATCTGCTGCTAGTTCCCAAAGCACTCTGCCATTTAACAAGAGAAATTCCATGTTTATATATTGGATCTCCCCCATAAGATTCTCTTTGAAAAAAGTGTTTTACTTTTTTAAAAAAAGGTTTAAAAACCACTGGCCTTAACAGAGTCTTTCAAGTTCCAAACAACAAGGCTGGAGCAAATAAAGCCTGGTTTACAAGGAGAGCACATCAGGGCTAAGGACAAACCCATAGGCAGTAGCAAAGAATGCTGATTTGCCTGACCTTTCCTCTCTTCGTATTCTCCTTGGGGTCCTGGAAGGTGTGGCTGTGGCCAGAGCAGGGAACTGGTTCAGGATCTGGGATTTCAGATCACTGGCATCTCTATCTTTCCATTAGAGGGATATAAAAGAGGGAGCTAGCCTGGAGTTGGGATGTCTAGAAGGCTTTCCATTTAAACAAAGTTTTGAAAATATGGGAATGATTGCTACTGAGTGGTGAGAAGGAAGGCCATTGCATGTTGAGGAGAACCACATGAATAAAGGCTTACAGGTAGGAAAGCTAAAATGGCTAGTGAGAGATGGGGTTAGCAACAGATAGTTTGGGGTCAGATTGTGGACAAACTTTGAATGTTAGGTTTAAAATAAATTCAAGGCCAGGCACTATGGCTCATGCCTATAATCCCAGCACTTTGGGAGGCTTAGGTGGGAGGATTGCTTGAACCCAGGAGCTTGAGACCAGGCTGGGTAACATAGTGAGACCCCATCACTACAAGAAATAAAAAAAATTGCATGGTGGTATACAACTGTAGTCCTAACTACTTGGGAAGCTGAGGTGGGACATTTGCTTGAGGGGAGGAAGTAGGAGCTACAATAAGCTGTGATCATACCACTGCACTCCAGCCTGGGCAACAGAATGAGACCCTGTCCCAAAAAATAAATAAATTCAAGAGATCACTGGGGAGTCTTAAATTTTTTGAACAGTGAAGTAACATCATAACATCATTATGCTTTTTTCAGGTATTTAGTATTGGTTCTTTAGAAATATGAATCTTCCAATGATAAGAAATTGAGAGGTTCATGAGTCCTGCAATGATTAGAAATTGAGAGGTTCTTCCATTAGAAATTGAGAGATTAGTTAGGAGTATTATAGTTCAAGTAAGACAACAAAAACTCGAATTAGGGCAGTGAAGGAAGAATGGAGGTAGAATTCTCCTTCATTAATGGCCAACTGGAAATGGGGATTGAGGGAAAACAAATAATAGAAATGAAGGTGTGCTTTGATTTTGGACTTGAGTGACTAGGATAATGGCCACTCTAATGAAGAAAAATAGAAATGTTATGTGTGGGTTTAGTAAGGGAATGCAATGAACTTGGTTTTGGATATGTTAAACTTGAGCTATCATTGGAACATTCAGGTATAAATATTTAGAAAGCACTTTGAAATAGGAGTTTAATAGAAAAGTTGAGAGTAGCACTACAGATACAGATTTGAAAGTCATCTGCAGAGAGATGTGTCTTAGTCATTTTCACACTGCTGGTAAAGACATACCCAAGACTGGGTAATTTATGTAAAGAAAAAGAGACTTAATGGATTCACAATTCCATGTGACTGGAGAGGCCTCACAATCATGGTAGAAGGCAAAAGGCACATCTTACATTGTGTCTTTACCATGGTATAGGGAATTACAGAGAACCAGTTCAGCCTGTCTATATGAAAGCCAAGTGAAAGGGATTTCCCCTTATAAACCACCAGATTTTGTGGGACTTTTTCACTGCCATGTGAACAGTATGGGGGAACCACTCTCATGATTCAGTTGTCTCCCACCAGGTCCCTTCCACACCATGTGGGAATTGGGAGCTACAATTCAAGATGAGATTTGGGTGGGGACACAGCCAAACCATCTCAAGATGATAGCAAAAGTTTTACATTATGCTTTTATTCAGTTAATAGTTTAATGTACATTTATTGAAAGGTCCAGTGTGCCAATCATTGTGTTAGGTGCTAGAGACAGGCAGAAGTGTATGAGAGATCCTTAAGGGGTGCTGCAGAGAGGTTGAATTTTAAGGAAGGTGTGTTGGTGACAAGATAAAGAGCCTGTGATGAATGCCAGAAGGACTAGTCAGAGGACTAGAGGTTAAAGTTATGAAAGAAGAAGGGAGTCAGTACTAGGTGGAAGATGGGCAGGGTTGGTATAGGGTGGAAGCCTGTTAAGACCAAGGTGCAGAAGAGTCATTGAAGGTGAGAGTATTGTCTTGAAAGTGAATGAACTCTGGGAAGGAGGTTATTTAAGCAAATTGATTCAACTTAAAGTGAATAGCAGAACCAGATTCCAGGTTTTTATATTTGAGTTCATTTCTCATTGTAGTATACCAGTATGCCAAATTGTGTCTTTACCATGGTATAAGGAACTACAGAGAACCAGTTCAGCTTGTCCATATTACTTAAAATGTTTAATTAAGATTCTTGAAGTTGTTGAATAAAGAGAAAATTAATGAGCCTCATAACTATCCTTATATTTCATGTGACCAATGGCAGCTTTGGCAGGCTTAAGCATGGAGGGACATTAGATGGAAGCTGTTTTTCTGGACGTGTGCTGCTTTAACAAGCACCACCAGAGAACAAAAACAAATCCTAGTGTTGCACAGGGAGCACTTTCTGGATGGCAGGAAGAATCTAGGTCAGCTTAACGGCAACTCCTATTCTTTAGGTAGATTAATGTTTGCCCCCTGGTTTTCAGCATGCTGCTGTACGACATCTAGAAAGACTGTGCATGGTTCCTTAGCACATATTAATAGGGGGTCACAAATGAAATTGATGTGTGGGAGCCTTTTGATTTACAGTTGAATAGAGAGAGTATAGCTCAGACCTAATATGGCAACATGGTGAGTTGTAGTCTGCATTTCCTTAACTCCTTGATGTAAAGGATACATCCTTGTGGACATTTTGCATATTACCTTTAGGAGATGACTGGTCTCCTATAGGTAGGATGACCAGAAAGTGCTCAGTTGAGCAGTAGAGCTCTGGAACCTGGGCTGGCTAGTCTGGCATCCTTTTTCCGACTATGCTGCCAGTGCTGTCTAATAGAACTTTTGTGATGATGGAAATATTCCATATCTGTGCTGTTCAGTATAGTAATCACTAGTCACATGTGACTGTATAGTACTTGAAATGTGGCTAGTGTGACTAAGGAGCTGAATTTTTAGTATTGTTTAATTAAATTAATTTATAGATAGCCATGTGTGGTTATCGGCTACCATATAGGACAGCATAGCTCTAGACTAAAAAACATTTAAAAATCCAAATTCTCATGCTCATTGGTATTTTTAACTAGTGAGAGGAGGTTGGAAGAGGGTTGAGTTATATTGATATTCACTCCAAATTTAGTAGGTTTATATTGAACATTGGACTGAGCTATTGTGGATTTGTGAATTTTTCTCGACTCTTCTCTTGCTTTTCATGTCTAAAAGCCTCTGGAATATCTTAATTGTCCTTTTCTCATTTGAAGAATTATCCCTTTTGGCCTTAGATGGGTGTAGCTCATCTAGTGCATAGATTAATAGCTCTGTCTTTGTCCTTAGGAAGGTAAATCTTGAAGGCTGCTGTCACATGACTGTACTGCCGTATGCCAGTTCATTGTTATTTTATTTTATTTTATTTTTTTGTGATGCTGAAAGTGAGTGAAATGTGAAAAAAACATTATTCATTTTAAATAGTTTTGACTGCCAGGTTAATGCGACTCTTAAGCGGAGCTTCATGAGGTCTGGCCATAGTAACTGCTTTTAACTTGATTTAAAGTTCTTAAACATTCTGAATTGCTTCACCTAATCTTTTTATACTGAACGTACAATTTTCAGGCTCTTTTTTATTTTCAAATCCATAACTGACAGCTGCTCAACACCTCATTCAAATAGTTTTAAGAGTTTTAGAGAAAAGTTGGGACAGACTGGATTACTGACATCAGTTGGATTGAGATATTGTGGATTTAAAGATGATTGAGAAGGAGAGGGAAAATATGAAATTATTATTACATGTTCACTGTTTGCCCAATGACAGTGATTTGAAGCCTAATAACTAACAAAACTGAAAGGTAGCAGAAGGACATTTGAATTAACTTTCAAATTTTAATATAAGGAATGAGCATTTTCTTTGAAAAAAAATTTTCATGTGTAGTCCTATTTGTTATATTTTAAAAAATACTAATGTACAGAAATTCATATATGCCCAAACCTTACTACAACCTTTTTCTTGACATGTATGTCCCAGATTCTATGAGATTGTCAGCTCCTTAAAGGAGCTAACTCTTTAGGGGACTCCATGATGTCTAGTGCACAGCAAATATTTTCCAAACAGAATTAACCATTTTAGAAGAGAAACACTGTTATAAGATCTTCCACCTCTACTTCCAATGACAAATGAAATCATCCTGTGACTCAACTCAAGAAGGCTCTGGGGTACAGTGAATATAGAGAAGCTTCAGGAAATATTGTTTGAGAGTTAAAATTAGTGTGACTAAATTTTGTCTTCATCCTTTTGAGAAAACGCATGCAGGTCTGTGTGCATTTTTTTTCATCCTTTTGAGAAAATGCATCAGGTCTGTGTGCATGTTTGAGTGAGTGTATGTCACCTACTATGTGCTAGACACTGTGGTAAGCACTAGGTTTATAAAGATGAATTATATAGGCTGTCTTCCCTCAAGGAACTTAGATTTTTTTGCAGGAAACAGTAAAAATAACAATGCTATGTGCCAAGAACCATGATAGACATAGTTTGGGAGTGCTGTGGAAGCAAAGAAGAGGAATGTCTAACTCACTATGGAGACTTAGAGTCAGGAAAGACTTCTGGGGGTCTCTTGAGTTGAGTCTTGAAAGATAAGTAGGAGATAGCCAGATAGACAATATTAGAGGAATTTTTCCAGGTAGAGAGATAAGGTGCAGAAAGACAAAAGCATGGGAGATTCTGGGAACTGCAAATAGTTTGCTATGGCTGAGGGGAAGAGCAAACTATTTGCGGTTCCCAGAAGGAGCACCAAAATGTGAAGCTGGAGAGGGTACACACAGTTGTCAAATCGTATAGGACCAACTTGGTAATAATGAGAAGTCTGGGCTTTATTCCATAGAGAGTGTCCATGAGGGGAGCAGAGAGGGTGCGGAACGGATCCAGAGGATTAGAGACCGATGGTAGGAGAGCAGTTAGGGAGCAGCTGTGGAAGGCCAGCTGAAATTTTGAGGGCCAGAACCCAGGTACTTGCTATGCAGCTTGGGAGGAAGCTGGCTTCAGGATATGTTTAGGAAAGTAGAATTTCATAACTGATCGAGGGAGTGGGAAGAAGGGGAGTCGGGGTTAATGGTTAGGTTCTGGCTTGGCTGCCTAAGTGGTTGATGGGTGCAGTAACTAAGATAGGAAGTTTAGAAGGTAGACAGTGTTGTGTTTAATGAGGATGGGCTTGACCCTGCAGACCCTTCACATTCAGGTGAAGATACCCAGTAGCACCCTGTGGTATTCATTTGGAGACGTGGCCATGGATGAGATATCCTAAGAAGAATGTATATGGAAGAGGAAGAAAAACTAATGACAGAACGTCAGGAACATCAACAATTAAAGGTAGGCAGGAGAAGATGAACTAGTGAGAGGAGTGAAGAAGGGGCTATCAGAGACTAGGGAAAGCCAGGAAAGTCTTTTGTTTTGGCATCTAAGAAAGTGAGTGAGCCACAGTGTCAAATGCTACAGGGAGGTCAGATAAGATAAGGGAGGCCATCATGGCTATAGCACTTAGGTATTCACAGGGGAACTCTGCCTTATAATTTCAGTGCAGCAGTGAATGTAGAAACCAGATGGCAGTGTGTTGAGCAAATGGAAGTGCAGAATAGGAAGCATGACTGTAGACACGTATTTTAAGGGCTTGACTGGGGAAAGTAAGATGAGGGAGAGGCGTCTGGAAATAAGGAGATGTAGGACTTAGAGAAATTTTACAATATGTATTTTTTTGAATTATGGAGGTGTGAGAAGATTTATATATGTCATAAAATAAGAGATATTGCAGAGGGAGATGAAAAATAGAGAAGTGAGAATTGATCACTGACCATCAAGGGCCACGTCGGGGCTCAGGAGGAGGCATTTGCTGAGAGGAGTCGGGGGAGGAGACCATTTTTTTCTTCCTAGGTGGAGATATCGGCAAGGCTTAAGAAAGAGGGTTGGTGTAGACAAGATTGCACCCCACGGGGCTGAAGACAGGAGGAAAGGAGAACCTCCTTGGGAAAGTAGGATCCCACGCTCTACCTGCTGATGGGGAGATGGAGCTGGGCAGGGTGGGAAACTGGGAAGATTTGAAATATTCTCTGTCCACGGGAACTCAGAAATTCTAGGGAGCACCTAGCTGAGGCTGGAAACATCACGTTGTAGTGACCCCAGGGTGATGATTGTCCTCGCCTGAGCAGCAGACTGAATGTCCCTCTTCCCAGAGACTCTGGTTCTGAGATGTACTTGATATCTTCCTTCCCTTTCAGAGGGAAGGCAGGCCTCTAATATTGTCTATTATGGAAATTTAGAGCTGAAGGGGACTTGAGAGATCACCTAGAACTCCCTCATCTTGTAAATGAGGAGACCAGCTCAGAAAAGAGAAGTGACTTATTCAAGTGGATCCAAAGCCAGGGCTGATCCCAGGCCTGACTTGTAGCTGAGGGTTTTCTTTTTTGTTCCCTTGCTACCTCCTTGATAAGGATTATTAGTAAATCCCATTCATTGTAAAATGCTCTTAATTTCCTATTTTGTACACTGAAAATTCTACACCATTTTCTTTCTCTTCCAGTTTTTTGTTTTGTTTTGTTTTTCTTCCTTGCCGAGTTCAAGCAGATGTAACAGTATTCTAGGATGCTAAAAATAGACTTAACATGTCTTTTCTTAAGACGAGGTGATATTGGATTAGATGAGAATATTATTGGTGGGACCTGTAAAAAGGTGAAACTTAAATACTGAAATGTCTGGAATTTCTGTTCTTACAGACTTTACAATTTTAAAGATAAGTGGATTTATTTACACATTTTAAAATTCTTTCATTCCATATTTCAAGAGAATCTACTAGGTGCCAGGAGTTATGATGATGCTGCAGGAAAGAATTCCCATATCTGTCCTGTTGTCTGTTGAGAATTGATGATTATATTAATATTCTCTCCATCTAGAGTATCAAGGTTAATATTGGTAACTTGTGAATGCTTCTTTGGGGTCTACAATCCGCGTCCTTATCCTAGACAAGAACTAAGAAGCAGATAATAGAATGTCTGTTGGATAAACACAGATTTGGTAGGATTGATTTAGTTTGGAACAGGGGAACCTTAATTAATTATCACTGTTTATAATACGTTTTTCTCCTTTGTTTCCAAGAATGAGAATAGTTCAGCAACACAATTAATAAATAAAACATAAAAGGTCAGTTATGGTTGCCCTGGTAACTATATTTCTCAGCAAGTATTTTGTTTGCCATGAAATGTGTCCAGGGTGATTTACTGGAAATCAGACTCTGAATGTCATGACTTTTTGTATTTGAATTTCTTATGTACTCATTTAGGAGTGACAATTTTGTAGGTTTTTTGGGTTGGGTTCTGAAGTTCTATGTGTGATGGGGATCCTTGTGTGTTTTTCTTTTTTTGGAAGACAAACAGGAAACTGTGATTACAGTGAATCTATTTAAATTTAAGATGAATTTCCAAGTCTAAAGTGAGATTTAAAAGAGTATTTGAATCATTTTTGGGACACATGAAATTTCTTAAAACTGGAATATTTTAATGTAGAATTTGAACATAAGATACTTTCTGATTAGCGATCAGGAATGTGTTAATTTATCCTTTTGACTTAATTCCTATGCAATTAGTTTTGAGTAGAATAAATTATTCTTAAAAAAGTATTAAAGATAAAAATCAAAATAATTAAGCAATTAGAGCAGTTGCCACTTTCTAGATGATTTATGGTAGTGTGAATTAAAGTTAAGTGAATAATTTTTATACGTTTATTCTTTGACCACCAAACAAAATCACTTCAATCTACAGAAAGTTTTACAAATGCACGAATATATACGTAGAAAGATGTAACTGCTGCATTGATTTTAATAGCAAAAAATATTGGAAGCAATCCAAATGTCCATCAGTAAGAGACTGGTTAAATAAATTATGATCTGCCCATACAATGGAATACTTGGTAGCCATTAAAAAGATTGATGTAGACCTGTATCTGCTGAAAAGAGAAGACTTCCAGCGTGTATCAGTAGGTGAAAAAAAGCATACTGCAGAATATTGTGTAAGTATTTTATATGTAATTAATCTATAATGCATACTATCTAATTGGCATATTAAAATTTGAAGAATCAACAGAAAGCTCTTAACAGTGGTTATCTCTGGAGAGTGAGATTATGAAGGACTTTTACTTTCTAAGTTAAATTTGCATATTGTTTGAAATTTCTGTAATGAATTTGGGTTACCTTGGTAAATAGAGAAAAAGAGAAGAAACAAAGCTGTGTTTAAAGGGTCTAAAAAGATCAGTTGAAATGGGTGTGGTGTGTAAATACATTAGGCTTTACGGTAATCTTTTATTCACTTTTTGTTTTTGTCTAGATACGTAGACATTTAAAAAGGTATTTGTATTTATGTCTTTTGAAACATTATACTGACAGATTTTTAACTCTTTTCTAGATATTGACCACCTGTTTTTTCTCACATTTCAGTTATTTTCTCAATGTATCCTTTAAATTGTCGCTTTGCAAGATAGCTGGTTTTATTTACATCTTAGTGGCTATTGAATATGCTTTGATGGACTTTGCTTTTTGTTTAAAGCATTATTGCTGGCCCGATTACTGAATTGGTTTTATTTTAAAATTATATGATCTCCATATACAATACCAGGGGATTTAGGAATTTTATATACAATTTACAGTTTGAGAGTGAATGATTATTGTGATACATGAAATTTCTTAAACCTAGAATATTTTAATGTAAAATCTGAACAAAGGATACTTTCTGATTAATGATCAGGAATGCATTAACTTGTTACCTTTTTGACTTAATTCCTATGCAATTAATTTTGAATAGAATGGAACCTCTTATCCAAAACCTTTAAAAGCATGTTTCTACCCTTTTCCCAAGGACAAGAATAGAGTGGAATCTGTATTCTGCAGGATTTCATCTGGATGCAGTTTTCTAGATTCTGCTTCCATTGTACTGAATATAAAGTTTTCTTTTGTTTGTGTGTGTTTGGTCCCAGTCTCTGCCTGGACCCCAGCTGTAACAACAATCTGGAGAAGACACTTCTCTAGTGCAGCCAGTTTGTCTTTCTGCAGAGGAGTCATCAATGCAAATAGGATTAGGAAGAAAATGCATGTGGTCCAGCCGTTGATTGCCATTTTCAATGTATAAGCTTAGTTTGTTAGCACACAGAGTGGAGCAGAAATCACTATTCCAGACCCTTGCTGTGAAGTTTACTGTTTCAATACGGTGATGATAATCTGTTAGGAAAAAGCTACAAAGCAAGGTAGACCTTAGGTTACGGTGTTGACATTGTGGATATATTTTATGGATCTGTTAACTTAATGCAAGTTTAGAAAACAACCTTACATTTTTAATTTTCTTCCCATCTGGTTTGGTTATATGAAGCTGGATAGGCAATTCCTTTTCTTGGAAATAACCTTTGGATTCTTGTCCTTGGGAAGAGAATGGAAATATGCTTTTAAAGAGGTTTTGGATAAAAGGTTATTATACATTGGATAAAATTTAAGACACCGTTTAATTTTTTTTTTTTTTTTACCATGACCTGTGCAACTGTAAGCACAATAACTTATATGATGTATTTATCCTTCACTTCATTCTGCATACCTTGATTTTTTTCTTCATTGTGCTTTCATATTTCATTTCCCTTTCCTATCAATCCAAACCTATGCACTATACCTGTCCACCTTAATCTGTGCACCATCCTATCCTGTCTACCCTGTGTGACCCTGCCTATCCTGCCTGACTCTGTTCTGTACTATTCATTTCTAGCCTATTTCATTTTTTTTTTTTTTTTTTAAGAAATGTTGTGTAGGACCCATTACATTTATTTTAAGATCTACCATTTGAAAATCATTGGCACGAAGGGCTTGGATGTTATTATTTCTTGAGTGTCATCTGTCTCTTTCAGTGGACATCAGCATGCTGTTAACTTTCAGTTGCTATGTGTGCCCCATACCTTGTTTGCTGGCATAGTAGGATAACAAAGTTAAGTACCTCATTATGAGATACATACGGTTGTTGATTTCTAAGCCATGGTTCTTCCAGGAGAGTTTTTAACTAGGAAGTCTTTATCACCCTGATTCTCTTATCATTGTGTAAATGTTGAGTAGTCTGCTTGTATATCGGGTGATGCTAATAGGGCCTGCATTTTCTCAGTGTAGATTATGCCCTACAGAATGTTAAATTCCAGGATCACTTTCTCCTACCACCCAGCATGCTCCTGGCCCCCTACTGTTGCCATCTCCTGAAGCATGCAGAGCAAATGCAAACCCATTTTAACACTGCACTAAGTAACACAGGGCAGCCTCTAAGGTAAGATAAACTTGCCTTAGAGGAAAAACAAACAAGCAAATCACCAGTCACTCCACTATACTTACAACCCACATGGAAATGATCCTGGATTATCTGGCCTTGGACATCTTTTAGTTTTGATAATTTAGTATTGACTTTGTCCAAGATAATTTTATAACTGAATTTTAACTTTTGTTTTTATATTACAAAATTAAAATATAAGTTAAGTTCTTGAGACTCTTAAGAGTACAGATACTATATATGTCTTGTATATATTGTAGAAGTCAGCTTTTTGCCAGGACATAATTGGTTCTTGATTAATGTATTGATTTAATTTGAATGTGAATTGCATATTAAATACTGAGACTTTGGTAATACCATAATAATTAAAAATTTTGCTAAGTACTTACTGTGAGCAAGTTAAGTTCATCATCTTATTGAGTTCTCACTGCTATTGTATAAGAGCGAACCTTTTTGCTAGCAATAATTTTAATTGACACTTTTAAAGATTTATTTTTAAATTTACATAAACTGAAATTTTTGGGGTAGAATTCTGTGAATTTTGACACATGCATAGAATTGTATATCTACCTTACAGTAGTATGATTACCACAGTCAATATGCAGTTTCCTCACTCACCCAAATCCACTTGTGCCATCCTTCTCAAACCTCCCTCCAGCCCCTGACCTTTGGCAGCCCTACTGATCTGTTTGCCATTCCTGTAGTTTTGCTTTTTCCAGAGTGTCATATACATGGAATCGGATTGGATACAATCTTTTAAATATAGCTGCTTTTATTTAATATATCGTATCTGAAATTCATCATTGTTACTATATGTACCTACCTATCAGTTGTTCACTTATTTTTATTGCTAAGTAGTATTCCATTGTATGGATGCACTATTGTCCATTCATTCACTGAAGGACATTTAGGCTGTTTACAGTTTTTGGCGATTTGAGTAATGTGGCTATAAATATCTGAGTGCAGGTTTTTCGTGGGTCATAGTTTTCATTTCTGTTGGCTAAATGCCTAGGAGTAGATTGCCAGGTCATATGATAAGTATAGTTGGCACTCTGTATCCATAGGTTCTGGATCTATGTATTCAATCAACTTCAGATGGAAAATATTTGAAAAAATAAAACTTAGTTTAAGGTAGAGAGTGAAAAAATAAAAAATAAAAAATACAACAATAAAAATGATAAAAATAAAATTGTATTACAACTACATAGCATTTACATTGTATTAGGTATTATAAGTAATCTAGAGATGATTTAAAGTATATGAAAGAGTATGTGCAGGTTCTATGCAAATAGTACACCATTTTATATAAGGGACTAGAGCATCTGAGGATTTGGGTGTGTGAAGGGGTCCTGGAACCAATCCATGGATACTGAAGGATATTTGAATTCTTTCTGATTAAAGCTTATCTATCTTTTTGCCAATTGAGGTAGTTACTTTTCTTTCTGAGACAGGATCTCACTGTGTTATCCAGGCTGGAGTGCTGTGGAGGCATAATGGCTTACTGCAGCCTTGAACTCCTGGGCCCAAGTGATCCTCTTGCCTTTGCTTCCTGAATAGCTGAGACTATATGTGTGTGCCACCAAGCCCAGCTAGTTTTAAAAATTTTTGTAGATATGGGGTCTTGCTATGCTGCCCAGGCTGGCCTCAAACTCCTGCCCTCAAGCTATCCTCCTGCCTTGGTCTCCCAAAGTGTTGGAATTATAAGTGTGAGCCATCATGCGTGGCCTACTTACTTTTTAAACTTCAAATTACTGATGAGGAAAAGGAGTCTTCGTCAAATTAAGTACCTTGCCTAAGATGATTCACCTACCAAATGATTGAATTAATACTGAAACTAGCATGAGTTTTCTGACTATGAAACTTGTGCTGAAAAGCTATATTAGCACCTAACCTTAGTTATTTGCTTCTGGTTGAAATGTTTGGTTTTAAGAAACTGTCTGAACAGTGTGTTTTTGAAAGAGTACATATGACAAGTAGATCACAGAAAGTTATCCAAAATTTAAAAATCTGTTTTTTTTTTCCGCTTTCTAGGCCATTAATTATCAGATATAATTAATTTTCAGTATCTTTAGCAAGGTATGATATTCTTTTCAAAATCTAAGGTAGCTGTATGTCACTTTTCTTTATTTTAAATAGAGCGATATAAATATATGTTCCTTGTATAGCAAAGAAAGGATGTTAGGGTTTGTGAATGTGAGAACACAGATGGATATGTTGTGCAAAACACAAACAGCGATTTGCATCCAGAAGGCTCATGCAAGGAATTTGGTAAGAGGTGAGAGAGTGACACTAATGTGGCAGTGAATAACAAATTAACGTTTCAATATTGGCAAACTGGGGAATTTTGAAGAATGTCATATTTAGTTAATTTCTTATTATACAAACTAAACCTGTACATTGATTTGTTAATAACTAGGCATGCATGTGCACGTGCGCGCGTGCGTGCACACCCCCCACCTATGTTTTTTGAGAGGCATCTTTGATGCCTTTAGCCTGGGTACTCTGTTCTAATATATGCTTTTCCTTCTGAGAACCCATTTACTGTTGTAGATTCAACTTTCTTCAAAAGGCAAATGACTCCAAACCTGTATCTGTGATCCACTGTTAAACTTAATTTCCTTCTCTGGGATCTCAAACCTACTTAACTATAGGAGAGAACTGCTAGGGTGACCTTTTGATATTGGAAACCTATACACAAAACTGAATTCCATTTCTTGTCATCCTAACAAATAAGCAACCATTCTCAGTTTCCCCTTTATTTTCTTCAAGATGGATTTGCTCTTTGGAAGCTCAGAATCATTTTTGACTCTCTCTTTCTGGAACCCTGGTGTGATCAAATCTGCAGCCAATTTCTGCTGATTGTTTGTGCCTGGTTGGTTTGCACCTAGCTCCTCTTACCCCTTGCAGTGTCTGCCATGGCCCCTTGCCATCTTCTTCCTCCCTTGATTTATGGTCACCTTTTCAATGCCTACTAGCTTCTGTACATGAACTCTTTGCATGCCCAACCCAATCTTTCTTGTTTTATGACTACTGGTCTTGCTACTTATTCCATCGTGGTGTTTTCCTTCTTTCTAACTAGCTCTGCAGATTGAAAACTAAAGCATAGCTCACTGCCATCTCATGTTTGAAACCCTCCAGTCCACTCCAGTGAACATGCTCCCTCCCTTCTCTGATCTCAGCCTGCATTGTGCCCAGGCCAGCAGTATCAGCATTATCTGGGAACATGTTAGAATGTGCCACCCCAGACCTGCTGAGTCAGAAACTCTGGGGTGGAGCCTAGAAATCTGTGTGTAACAAGACCTTGGGGTCATTCTGACTCCAGCTAACGTTTGAGAACCAGTACACTATGTAAACCCAGATTCACATTCTCAGTGCCAAAGGCTTAGTAGCCTTACCTCTTTGGCCCACTTCCATTGCTTAGCCTCTGTCAACTTTTTCATTTTGAATACCTGCATCTCCTTTTCTCAGCCACTTCTAATTCCTCATTTAAAATGTCAGTCCCAAAATTTGCTTCCTTGTGGCAGTCTCAGTTCACTGTTTGAACAATAGGTGCTCAGTTTATATTCTGCTCAGTTCTCCTTGTTGATCATGTTTTTCTATAAAGACTTTGGTTGACTGCTGTATGTGTGTTCTGTCCTTTTGACGGACATGTGTTCCCCTAACCTAGCACAGGATATATTTGGTACAAATCTTTGGTCTGTCAATTTCACTAATAGAATGGAGAAAAAAAAAATTTAACTGTCAACACAGTAAATATGTTCCTGAGTAGAAAGAAAAAATGTACATGAATACCCAAGGATGAAGATGTCTCTGCTTGGGCAACTTTTGGCTACTTAGGGTATTCATTAATTCCCTCTCCTCTGATGTTAGAGTGTATACTGGTTAAAAGTCTGGGGCACCCCTGCTGACATGAGGAAAGGGAGCATGTACTGCAGAGAGGGGGGCCAGTTTTGACTTCAGGGTCCTTCACTTCTTCCAGTGATTGATTCACATTATTTGACTTTAGTTTCCTCATGAAAAATTGGGATAATACTGCCCACTTCATATGATTGTTATATTGCAAGGATTAAGTGAGATTTGGTAGGTAATGTCCTTGTACAATCCCTGTCCTACATTAGGTGCTCTATAAATGGCACCTTTTATTAATTCCACAAGGACAGCACACTTAAAGAAAAAAAATCACTCCACAGAAGCAGTTCTGTTCACTGCATAGTAGGCCCTTAGTAAATGTACTGAATGATATATATGTATATGGCATTTCATAGCTCTGGTCTGTGCAGATGTCCTAATTTGTACAGGGCTTCAAGTTTTAGTGCTTTATAATCATTAATGAATGGTAAGAACTATTACTTGACTTTTTGACAAATTTATTGCATTTCTTAAAAATTTTTCATTCAACTTTAGTTTTAATGGATGATAGCTTACTTTCTAATAGTATCTGAAAGGTTTTTATGGTTTTTTCCAGTAGAACAAATGAGGCTGGTTAAATGGGTTTTTTTTGACACAATGCCTTCCCAAGAATGTTGTTTCACTGTCAATGGCTAGTTTAATCAGTATTATTGAAGACAGTTTCAAACTACTCTGGTGCTTGGTTCTTTATTTAGTTTTTATTCTTTTCCTAACACATCTAATTAATGGAACTATCCAGTGGTCTAACATGGAGAAGGAGAAAAGATGATATTATGAAAAGTTTAATCATTAAAATAGTTTACAGAGTACTTTAACATGCATTGTATCATATCTCACAGTGTCATGTCAAGTAGGCATTACTATTATTTTTACTTTGCTGATTAGAAAATCGATGCTCTGCTTAATGACCAAGGTCATGGAAGCAGAAGGTAAAAGAAAAGCCCCAGGACTGGGCGTGGTGGTGCACACCTGTAAGCCCAGCACTCTGGGAAGCCAAGCTGGGCAGATCACCTGAGGTGTGGAGTTGAGGACCAGCCTGGCCAACAGGGTGAAACCCTGTCTCTACTAAAAATTAGCCAAGCATGGTGATGGGTACCTGTAATCCCAGCTTCTTGGGAGGCTGAGA